GTATGCATTATGGAACAAAATCTACAGAAAATGAGCGAGTGCAGAGAAGCGAAGTAGTAAATTACACTTTATGATGAACAGCTATTTGGCCATGTGTACTTCGTCAGTCAACAACGGGAAACGGGCTCTACTCCGACTGCGTTTAGTGCATACCAACGCCAGCGCGCGCGCATTGCCCGACTATGCGCTTACAACTAAGCTTAGAAAATTTTGAAAAATATAGTTAAATAATCAGCATTTGAATAAGAAAATATTATGTACCTAAGAATTTCAAGAGGTTTCATTGACAATGGATGATTCATTCATAGGACGAAAATTCAATTTTGTAGCCTATTTAAATTGCAAAACGAGAATAAAAATTTATCAATTCTAAACTGTCTTCATGAACTAATATTGAAAGGTATATTTCATAACGATGTATGTGTATTGTATCGTAAACGGCGTTTGCCATCCATTAACGATGGTTAATATAAACAACAGATAGACGGCGACTTGAAAGAGGCTAGTTGAAACCTGAATCGTAGAGCGCTTTGTTCACCCAACGCAGCCTCTAGAGTGTTAAGTTTATGTCGTGATAAAAATCACATATGAGACCTCGTGTATATCGAAAAAGTTCCTATGAAACTTACGAGACTTGAGAATTGTTTTATTTTTCCCTCCAAGCTGACATTTTGTACACTCCTTATTAATAGTGTACAGTATGCACCAGTCTATTTCAACCATTTGAAACTTTGATATACTTTTTTCTTGGAAGAGACAAATACCTAGAAGTGAGACGAATTAGTTGACGATGATAATGACTGATAGCTGCAACAGTTGGCACATCTACAACGTGTAGTACCTACGTTGATAATAAGGAACAATTGCTATGTCGGCGGATGTAAACAAAATGTTCTTGCTTTGGCGTTGCACAGATGTGCGGCGGAATACATTACCGAAACCTTCCTATCCTGGATGGACAAAAAATTTTAAAATAAAAGCCGTTTCCAACATCCCTTGTGTGACTACACTAGAATTGCGATACACGGTAAATAATCAGTTTGTAATGAAATTTACCATTCATTGCAATCTTTAGAGACTGTTTGATATATGTCTGTTAAGAAAACTATTTGACCATTCAAATTAATAAAGAATGTTTGGTAAAAATCAGCGTTATCTAAAACATTTAAGGTACATTTTGAATTGTTTCCAGATGACAGTAAATTTTAATCTAACAGTACCCTTACGTCGAGCCCTTTGTTTTCTCAACCGCACCATCCGCGGCTCTAACAAAATATACAAGAGACCGAAATGTAACCACGCCGTGCCCACACGCTGCGCCATCCGTGTTTTGACGACTCGTCATCCATCGACCGCTCGGCCTAACGCACGCACTGTAGCAATGTTGAAATTCTGCTTAGTCTAAATTTAGTGTGTATATAATAATTTCTAGCTGCACCGCGATATAGTTTCGTCCACTATCACATAATAATTCTGGCCCAGGACAATACAAACATACAATCGTAATCTGATCCTATTTAGAAAATACGAATAGACCAATTCAATGACTAATGCCTACATTCAATGGATATGATCTAGAATTTTATACCTAGGGTTGAGATATTATGTTATTTTAAAATAAGAGAGGCACAAAAATCGAAAAATTCCATACAACATAATATGTTACAAAAATCATATGCTTCGTTTCGGAATTTTTATATTTCATGAGGAGGGTCAATTCTTCAAATTGCGAAGTGTGCGGAATTCCTGATGTAGATGTGCTTGTAAAATTTTATCTGGTTGGTTTTAGTAAATTTATAATATCGTGTTCTTTCAATCCGTTTTCTGATCCGTTGTCTGAGCCAAAAAGTAGTGCCGCGAAGATTTTGTATACATTTTTGTTTAGGTAGTATTTTGATTTATGTGTTTAGATTCTATTGTTTCCAATGAGGCTAACATGTTCAACAATGATCACAGCCCCTAACTAAATCAAGATTTGAAAAAAAGACTATTCCCAATAATGAACAGGGAAAACGATGAAATCCTGAAAGAAAGAAAGTTAGGTTTTCAGCTTTCATATTATTCTAATGTTAATCTCGCGCGGTCTAAATAAAACTTATAAAATATCAAATTGTACATCTTTATTCGAACCTAAAATGACAACATTATGCCACATTGAACGGTAACATCATCATACATAACACTATTTGCATTTGCAGATTTGCAGATTAGAATTTTGTATTAAACGACTTGGCTGTATGTTGTAACAGGCGATCAGGATATAAAAACAACAAAAATATAACTCAGTCTCCGAAACTAAAACTTAAAAACATTCTACTTAATATAAAAATACTTATCCTCTATTGTCTAGCACACATATGACTCAGATATTACATTACATCTGCCTATAGCGGTATCGTATGAAATTAAATGACAAACATATGAATACATAGTTTAATTCGTTCATGGTCAGTACCGTACTCCAAAATGTCACTAATTGTCTTGGTATCGTAGCGCTTATATTGATTGAATATAGTTACTCTTTATCACTGTCAAATCGATCCGAACGGGTAGCCCATCAGCAATATCATACGCCTCGACTCGAAAGAGACGCACTTTCCGATCGGGACAGGCAATCAAAATCAGCCTGCTAATCCCGTCAACAATCTTGTATAAAATAAATTTAAAAAAAACATATGATAGAGAAAAAGTTGGTTACAACTTCGCCTAAATCGTAACCAACTACACAGAAAGCACTTGGAAATCGCACTGTAACCCGTAGTCCAGGGTTTCTTAACCTGTGATCCTTGGACTCTTAAGGGGTCCATGGCGAGCCTACCAAACATAACAAATGCATTAAATAATGTAATAACGGAACAACATAACAAATTTATATTGATATACTTATTTTGTAATACTTACTAGCTATTATGTGCATAGGGGTAAATACACTACTCAAGAAAGTCTAGGGAACAAGCCAATTAATTATATATTAACTTATTCATTTTATTAGAAATAGTACTGCCCATTGAAATTTATAAATGTATGATTATTAAAACTGTATTAAATTATGGTTCGAAATTTAACAAAACAAAACAAAACAAAAAAGCAAAAGTATTTTGAAATTAAGAGGGAAAACCTTGCATGGGCGCAACACACAGGTTTTTCAGCAACTAAGACTTTATTGTCACTTTACGTTTGCTTTTCTTGCGTTAAAAATGTTGTCGTTGTTTTCGTCTATTTTTGTGACTTTGAGCGTCATATAACATCGTCATTTAACGCGGGAAGAGATGCTTAGTACTGTAAGTGTGCTGGAAGCTGGTTGTAGTCGCCGTTAACTCGCAACCAAGCGTAATTTGCCGAATATTGCCATGTAGCGTGCCCAACGCTACATGGCTACAGTACATTTAGGCAAACGTCTCCCAAGGTACAGGATCGCTACCCAGAGACAAAATCGTCTTTTGGAAAATACTGCAAGGGGACCCCATATTACTGCTCCATAACTGGTAGAAAGACTGCTGTCCCTGCACTAAATGGTTGTTAGTAACCAAACTGCTAGAAGAAGATTACATGAAGTCCGTATCATCACCGAAACAAAGTTATTCAGATCGGATAAATGAAAAATTTATATCGTGTTGTATCAGGAACTCAAAGAACGCTGAACAGTGATGATTGGCGATTACTTCACCGACAAGAGGAGGCGAGATAATACACCTCAAAAAGAAAAAAATTTCCTCCAAGGGATATGTTTCGCAGGCCATTGTACTTTCCTTTTTTCAACAATTACAATATGGTTATCATAAAACGTGCCTGTCTGGTATCTCTTTCAGGAGAAAGAGATAGTGGCAATCATGGACATGTATTAAATTGTATTGTATGTATTAAAATGTACTAAATATAATTACATGCTTGGATGCACGGAGACCGCTAAGAGTTCCACGATGTGGAAATCGAGGACGTCGTTTATGGTGGGCTAACACACATTTACACTGAAATGAATTTCAGTAGGCGCGTGTTTTTTTCTGACGAGTCCCGTTTCAATTTTCATCCTGATTCAAGAAGAATGCGAGTTTGGCGAGATGCTGGCCGCACGATTCAACTCCAGAATCGTCAGGAAGTTCGTACAAACCTCTGTGGCTGAACGCCACCAAGCTCGATTGCCATGCAGAGGTCCCAGGTTCGATTACCGGGTCGGGAGAAATATTTGTATGACCTACCTACATTTATTTATCTCGTGAGTTTAAGTGTAATTTGTGCGATACAGGGTTTCCTTAGTGCGGGGCTATGAGAGCGTGCATTAAAAAATACCAAGGAAGGATGATAACGATGCGATCTGGAATTCGCTTGAATAGAAGAACTGATCTCGTTTGGATACAATCCAATTTGAATGCAAAACGATACTGCGACGAAGTTATGCAACCCATGCTAATCCCTTACCGCAAGAAGCTCACCCAAAACTTAATGTTTGTGCACAAGGCTATCACATTGTTACAGTGGCTTGCTTAGTCGGCCAATCTACATCGGCTTTCCGATCGAACCGATACATGGGATTTGCTCGGAAGAAAAGATCTTCCCCAAAATTTACACACAGAAGGAGAGCTTTTTTCACATCTTTCCAGAGTATCACAGGAGAGTTCCACAGGCGAGAGTTCACAACCTCATACTTAGAAGCCACGCCGTTGTAGAGCCGTCACTAATATCTTGGAAAGTACGACTGACTATTAAAAATCTTATTTAACACCTTTAACACCTTTATTAATTATTTTCACTGTTTCAATAGCTTTTTTATTTCATGGAAATGTTTTTCGTTTCGCTTTCTCCAAATTTTGTTATTTTAGAATAAATTCTGTTTTTTTTCCTTAACGACCGTTAATTAATAAGACCGTTTTATTATTTTATCAATAAAATGAATATTAAATAACTGCTTTTTGATGTACCAACATGTAAGGAAACAGTTTCTTAAATTTGAAATGTTATAACATCTTTATTCCCTAGATTTTGTTGAGCAGTGTATGATTAGCATTAGAACTATATATAACTATGCAAGCAAGAAGATGATTAACTACTAAGAACTATCGAGCCTACGCACACAACGTGTTTTCTGCCAGTAGGCTGCCTACCTTTCCAATAATTATCATTTCACATCAATGGAAACGTGCTGTAAATATCTTGATGTCTTTTGGGTTTATTAAGGCGTTTTCAAATCGTCCTGCCTGACTAAGTTTACCCCGCGCATTTTTTATAGTGTAACTATGTACGAATTCATGACACGATTCATGTAGCGATAAAAAGACGCGACTTAATTCGAGGAAGTGTGTAAAGGTATACATGTTGCGATTGCATTGCGTATTAGGAGCGTTCAAAGCGCGAATAAAAAACGTCATGTGAATAGGGCCTAAGGCGACTTTCACACGGCATGGCACTGCGCACCGCTGCGGAGCGCGGAGGCGGCAGCCGCTGAGGCGCAGCGGCGAGGCAGATTCTGCAGCGGTGCGCCGCGTGGACAGGACCGCTGCGCCCTCCACCGCTCTCCGCGGCAGTGCGCGGCGCGCCGTGGGAAATTCGCCTAAGAACAAAAAAGAGTTTCAGTTTTGTCTGCTTCAAAATTTTACAGGTCAAAGCGAGTAAGCGCTACTTCAAAATTTACAGTAATGCACTTATGCACAAAACATAAATTGTACACCGAATGTAGTACAGGAAATTTTCGAAATACATTATCTTGTGACTTAATATGCTTTATTTAGGTATGTAAACTACGATACTATAGAGACAAAATGTTTTCAGATACTGCAGGCTGTGTTTCAAAAGGGAACTGATTAGGTTGAGAGGGTCCTCCAGCCGCTAGTTCCGCGGCGTAATACATAGTTTCACCGTCCTGTACGGGTTGCAAGTTTGAGAGACTCAAAAATTCCATCTGCTCCTGTTCTCGCACTACCTGCGCGTAGCGCTCTACCACTAAAGCTCCAGGCTCAGCATCCGACATATGAGATCTCAAATGAAAATTAAGATGACTTCGCTGCTTAAATCTTCGACCACAAACGTTACATTCGAAAGGTTGTATGTTAGTGTGCGTGCGCATGTGCTGGCGAAGATGAACTGACTGCGAGAACGATTTAGAGCATATTACGCATTTGAAGGGCTTCACTTTCGTATGAGTGCGATGATGTTGATCCAGTCCAGCTTTTTGAGTGAAAGTTTTTGGACAAAATGTACAAGCGTAAGGGCGAATGCCTGTATGCATCCGCATATGTTGTTGCAGGCCGCCTTGCTGCGTAAAGCGTTTAGAGCAGATAGAACACTGATGAGGTTTTGTCTTGGCGTGTACTATCATGTTGTGTTTCTCATACTTAACACGGTCTAGGAATATTTGGCCACAAAGTCGACAAAAAAATGATACTGGGTTAGGTGTAGGTAGCTGAGCAATTAGAGCATGGCCTACAGGAATGTACCTGTCTAGTCTCTTCTCGCAAACTTGGCATCGGAGGGCAGCTTTGCGCCGCTTGGTGTGTTCTTCACGGTAGTGGAGAGAATATTCGCAGCAGTTGTAGAAAATCTTTCGACATTGCAGATCCGGGCGAAGAGTCAAGGAGAAAGTGCATTCGAATGGACCTCTGGTTGGAAGTAAAAAAAAGTAAATAGGTACAGGGTCAAGAGTACGTCAAGCTTTATACTTTAGACTTAAATCCAACTATGCCAGTTACGATAAGAAAACGGTCCGAAGTACAAAGTGTCAAGCTTGATGTGCTCTTGACTGTACATTATTCAAAATGAAACCGTTATTTTCGAATCTAAATCGCGCATATTTCTTTTTTCGAACAAACCCAACGTTTTGGACCCTTAAATGGTGGCAGTGACAATCATCCGTGACCATGGAACCTAGGAGACCTAAGAAGTCGATAGATACCTTATTTTAAAATAATCTACAAAATACGACCTTTCGATTCCCGGTATTAATGTAGTATTAAATATAAATAAGAATACATAAATATAAATAATAAGTAATAATTTATATTTATTACTACATTAATATGTATATTTTACTATTTTTTTCCAATCTCTCAGTTGTAATTGGCTACCTAGAAACTTTATATTACCTGAGATTAACAGGCTGACTTAAGTTTCTAAGCTGACTTTTCTTCGTCAATCCTCCCAACCTCTTGTTTCCGTTGGCGTCAGAAATATCGCCATCCATCTTCACTAATAAATAAGACGTATCTTCCGTCATAGTGCGAGTGATCAACCCATCTTCTGTGATCTGGTCATTCACTTTGCATTTAAACAAAGGTATGAATTTGAAACCACCTAACACATTCACTGCATTGGAGGATGTCTTCAAGTTTATAGACTGGAAAAACATAACATCGACTTCAATGACTAAACGGGGGATTTACATAATTCTAGGGTATAAATAAAGCACATAAGTAAAAAACTAACATCATTAATCATCAACATCATCGTTCGTTTAATTTGTTTTAACTTAAATACTAGTGGCGTGTTTATCAACCTTATTATTATCTCCACATCTTCCGAAATTACAAAGCATTTTTCGGACTCATGTATGTACTTGAGTCTGCCGACCATGATACTTATAGTAAAATATAACAATATTCAGTTATAATAAATATGGTTAAGCCTTTTGTGAACAGGACTTGTAATATAAATATGAGTAGGTAGAAAACCCATGTTTTCTACCTACTCATATTTATATATATATTTATATTTATATATTATTATTATGGGTATGGACCCACTTTTGGGTGATACATAGGTACCCAAAATACACAAAACTTGGTGCTTACGATGGTAAGCCTAAGCCTAAGCCTAAGGTAGGACTGTACTTTGATTGTTGTTTACGCAGGTTTGCAGGTGTCCATATAGGTACTGCATGACAATATTATAATTACCTTATTATAATTACCTTTTGCTCAACATTAATAGACGAGGTACTACTAGAGTCATCAATATCATGCTGCATGTTTTTATGATTCTGTAACGCGTTCTCATTATAGAAAGTTTTCTTGCAAAAATGACAAATAAATTTAGCAGACGATCCTTCTGACAAAAGGGAATACTGTAAGAAATTATGATATAATTAGATTTAATGTGTAACGATTCGTAATTGTTGGAGATTATGGGAGTAAACGTTTTATGACATGACTTAAAAATATATATATTTATATAGCATAATGTGTACTAGCAGTGACAGCGACCGCGCAGCGAGCGCGCGTTGTGAGCGCGATGTGATTCGTGTCGAGTAAATGGGCCCTAAGGGTGCTGGTGAAATTTTGTAATTCCCTACGTGTTGTGCTTGTGCACATGGGACTTGTCAACTTATGTCGTAGGGTGACAGGAGCAGTGGCAGTGCCCCAAGATCTTTGCGATTTATGAGTTATGGATTGGCGTATCGCTTATCACTAGGCGCACGACTTGTTCGTCCGTCATTTGGTATTATAAAAAAATGTGTATTCGTAACTAAGAGTTTCGGTGATATGTATATGATAGGCATTGATCTATGAAGGCCAACGGTGATAGGTAATATGTTCACAGTTAATTGGTACAGCGTCTAGCACGGTCTGCTGGAAGACGTTGACTCGAATCCAACCGTAAATAAGTTTTCGATCTTTGTATTAATAATTATTACAAAGTAGTGGAGTTATTTCACAAAAATAATTGAATATCATGGTAGTCAATAATCGAGTAACGACATAAAATGTAACAATTACAATATGTTCACATTTATAAGAATCGCATTTGGGTATATATTTTTATTCTTTTATGTATATACTTATTTTTTGTCTTTGATTGAGCATTGATATTTTAAATTAAACGAAGTACCTACATGTATAAGTGTATACATCAAAAATTATTATGTTCAACTGGAACAAACGTCCCGTATTACTAAACGATTTTGGGACCAGTTTGTTGTCCTTCCAAGTCTTCATTGTCTAATGGGATATTGGAGTGACAAACAAGCAGTTTCGTCACAGACGAATACTTATGCCATAAGTATTCGTCTGCATTTTAACACACAGAGTGTAATCATTAACTGTACCCAGGCGATTATTCCATAAATATAAGAAATATGTAATAACCTTTTAACTGGCATCTAAGGTACGTTACCTAATGTGTAAAATGACATCAATATCTTTTCAAAAACAAAACTAGGAATATCCAAAATTTTAACGTTAAACGTTCCAATACATTTAATATAAAATTCGCAGAGAGGCTAGTACCAGTACACAGTGTTCCTTACTAGCTACCTTGTTTATGACGCGATATGAAGAAAACATAAACATTTTTACTTTTTCTCTAAAACTGTAAATAACTTTGTTTCAATTCACCTTTAAATTAGGTAATCACGAATATGACATGTCTGAATTATATACAATTTATTTTTAATTCGGTGCTGTAAGGATATTTTATATTTAACTGCCTCTGTGGTCAAACGGTTATCAGGCTGGACTGTCACGCAGATGTCTCGAGTTCGATTCCCGGGTCAGGAGAAATATTTATGTGGCATACATCCATTTCTCTCGTGAGTTTGGGTGTAATTTGTGGTTGTCTATGTGTGTGTCCATGACACCCGCAATACAAGGTAGCCCTAGTGCGGGGCTATGAGTGTGTGCGTTATTATTAATATTATATAAAAAGGTTTTTTGAACAAATTCTGCATAAACTCAAAACCTATGCCAAAACAACTAAACAAAGTTTGTGTAAACAAAGCTTTTTTACACCAATATTTTATTTGACCGAGTAGTATCGCAGCTTAAGTCGCGCGTATTTATAAATTGAAAAGTTGACTAAACGATTATTAACTGAATCCACCTGTAACCACTCTAAATCGTGCAAAGTATTATTGTTTGTGTTTATATTTTTTTCAATCAGAACCGTTGTGAGCAAGTTCATTCTTCAGCCGATAGTCGAACAATCAACAATTCCTGAGGACGCATCATAGAGAGGCGAAACACGTGTCGAGTATAATTTATGGTGGTGGTGTTTTGATTCTGCAGTTGTGTTTGTGTTATTTATGTAATAATTCAGGCGGCCGAAGTGTGGGAAAATTAACTGCATGAAAAAATATTCAACACAAGCCCAACGATTATTATTATTTTGCACGATTTAACCTTCCCTGGTTTCGCAAAGAAGGAAAGTAAAGTAAATTACTCACTATTGCCATTTTTATTAATTATTGAATACAACAAAACGTACGGACGAACATGTAAGCCTCATAAAAGGATCCGTTTAAGCAATTCTAAAAACATTGAGAACGCACATGTCGCAAAGTTTTGTGTTAACATAGTTATGTACTTACTACATGGGGCGCACTATAAGTTTCCGGAACTGGCCACTTACATAAACAATATTTAAAAATTTTGAAAATGAAACTCTTTGGCTGTAGAATACAGTTTGTTTCATCTGACTGTCACTTGTTCTTACATTGTGGCGTCATTTTAGAAATTGGTTGTCTACATCACCGTGGATTTAATTCGTGAAAATTTTCGTAGTATGATTTTCTAAGACTAAGTGTAATTTAACAGCTCGGCGGGGCTTCGCTTGGCTTCAAACTGCTTTTGACGATGAAGCACCATGCAAGACGACTATTTATAGCTGGTTTGCAGAATTCAAACGCGGTCGTGTGAATGCCAGTGACGAATTTCGTGATGGTGGGCAACCATCACGAAATTCGTCACTGAGTCCGCTGCTGTGAACAACAAAAGCATCGATGCTGTGCGACGTCTGATCAAAACAGACAGGCATGTGACATACCATGAGATTCGGGCATTTTTAGGCATAGGCATGAGTCAAATAAAATCCATACTACACAAACATTTGGGTGTGAAAAAGCTGTGCATTCGGTGGACCCCACACAATTTGATTGAGGTTCAAAAAACGGATCGCGTCACTTGATGCAATGTCATGCTTACCAGATTCAACAAAGGGGCGTCAAATTTGGTGTGGGACTTAGTAACAGGTGATGAAACATGGATTTATAGTTACGATCCAATTAATTAGTAATATTTATATATTAATTATAAAATTAATAATGCTAAACAAAGTAGCAATTGAGCGTACGGGTCTTTCGAGATGAGCCGAAACCAACCAAAGTGGCGCGCGTGCAAAGTTCGTCTAAGCGGATGATTGATTCTTTTTTATTAATTAGTTCATTCGTATGAAAAAGTGCATTAACGCTAACGGCGAATATTTTGAGAAACAATTTCAAAGTCAAAGTCAATAAATACATTTCTGAGCATTTAGAGTACTTTTTTTTCTTATTCATTCCGGAAACTTATAGTGCGCCTCATGTCCATTAATAAAATTAGAAAATATTGCTTGAATAAAATTTAATGCGTCATTTTGGAAATAATATGAACTTTTTAAAGCAAAGACCTATTGTCATATATCTCGATGACAGGCAATTACGTCATTATTAAAGGAGGACAGTCCTTTGAGCGGGCTCCTTACTATCGTACTAAGATTCTATTTTGGATATGAACTGTTACAACTCAAATCAGTAGGTAGTATGGTACTATCTAATAACTAACATCTAAGATCGTGGTGCGTCAGTATCCCGTTAAATTATGTTTACTTTTAAAATTATACGAAGATCGTGGTGCGTCAGTATCCCGTTAAATTATGTTTACTTTTAAAATTATACGGGCTCTAAAACTTGCAATATTCGGCAAAACGGTCCAACTTTACGTAAAGTTTTCAAGAAAATTAATAGTTTGCACAAATTTTGAAAAACCACGACTCTAGGAAACTGTAATTTTCTATCCAAGGAAAAATGATTACTATTTTATTATTTTTTATATAATACCAAGTGACGACGAACAAGTCGTGCGACTAGAGGTAAGCGATTTGCTTATCCCTAACAGTAGCAGTGACACATGAGCTTTAAATCCCAAAAATCTTAAGAGGCACTGCCACTGCGCCCATCACACTGAGACAAAAGTCCTATGTGCCTGTAATTTCACCAGCACCCCTTACACTTCCAACCGGAACGCAGTAAGGCTCACATTACTGCTTGGCGGCAGAAATAGGTAAGATGGCAATACTTTCCTGAATGAACTCTTTCACAGGGACCACTTCTGCTACTGAATTTCTTTTATTAAAAAGTAATAGCCTACCCATTTACTATTTATTATTTCAATGAACATTAAACTGCACTGCTTGACGCAGGCACAGGGCCTACTGTACCTTAAAGAGTTTGTTACAATTATGTCAGACTTACGTCCAGGGTTTGATCGACGGAGGTTAGCAAAGTAGCGGCCGTTTGCATTGAGTTATTTGTACTGTCTCCTTGGTACATCATGACCCTATAAAGCAAAATTAATATACTAATAATATTAAGCCGGAACAGTAAAATAACAATAAAAATTTTCAAAAATCTTATTTATTAAATACTACGTGATATGACACTTTTATTTATAATGAGATGCGAGAATTGACCGCATAGAATAGGTCAATGAAAAATACCATTGACCTACCAAAAAATAGTCAATATTTCAGATACTAGATCAAGTTGTTTTTCTTTTTTAATATAATAAATGGTATAATTTTATTAATATTACGTTCTGGAGAACTGTAATGAATAGTGTTGTATACTGTAAACTTAAAAATAAAAATAAGTACATTTTTGTTAAAGAACAGAATTGATATTATATAGGTATGCCTAATATAATAATTTACATTATAAATATTTACTTAAAAAACAATCATTTATTACTGGGTATGCTACTATAGAAGCAAAACCTTCCAAATATAGTAGGTACAATCTTGTGCTCTTATCCAAACGTTGGTGCAACTCGATATGAGAAAAACTGTGACAAAACGATAGCGCGTTTCAGCATACTACCAATGCTCTCTATCGTCGGGGAGGTACTAAATAAAGAGTATCATCCTCTGAACTTGAAAATTGTGTTGTGATTATACTAGGACGTCGTTTATTGTAACAAATACATAGTATTATACTGTTGACCTATAATTAAAGGTGTAAATAAATAATGACTGTTCATAAAAATACAAGTACATTTATTATCATTTATTTTAAAGATTTTATGAGTAAGAAAGACCTATATGTTCTAAGAAAAAAGTAGATCCTAGCGATTTCAAATGGCACTACATTGAAACGTCACAATCAATAACCATGTTAGACAAAGAACAATAATCAGAAATGACAAGTCTTGAAACCATACTGTCTTCATAAAAAATAAAGAGGTAAAAAAATAATGCTTTCGATAGACTAAGGTCAGACCAGACAGTGTAAAAGTTGTTTCCATCCTATAAGAAAAGTTGAACATAATGCAAATTATTGGAAGGTTACGTTCGTGACAAGGTTTGAGATAATAGTATGTACCACTACACTACATATTATTTTAAAATTTATACACTATATTTATAATCTAGGCAGGTATATAATATGGTTGTATAGTCCGACTAGTCTTGGAAAGTATTGTATTGAAAAACAATATTATATGTTTAAATACTTATAATTCGAGGTGATGGTATATCAAACTGACGGATGATGTAGAAACATGTCTATTTCTGTTTTGTATTTAATTTTTTACATTTGTTAAGATGAACTACGTCGTATTCGCTGGGTGAACATTGTCCGCCAACAGAGAAATGAAAAAGCTGGCAGCTAATGATTATATACGAAGCAATTTATGTATATTTTCAAATTTTAGTAAGCATATTTATTATTTACCGTCTACATTTATTTGCTACTCCCACCTACTTAGTACTTTTTTCAGACAACAATTAAAAATTATTCTTGCCTACTTATTCAAGCATCATTCCGAGACGTGCTAAATCTGATTTATTGCTCTTTGTCAAACAATAAGGTGGCATTCTCGTTACTTATTATTACGTTTCAATGTGAGTATAGCATTTTTACTTATAAATATGGAAACCTACTTTTGAAATAGGCTCAAAAGTCCCGTTTTTTCCGGAATTTTGGAAACGGATATGCATCGAGAATGAAACCTTTATTTGGTGAATGACAGACTACATATATTAAAAGGAGATTCTTTTAACGAACCTGTCTGTCCTTTCATTATATGCTAAATTTAATTGTGAATTAGCTCAGCTCCCTATTGTTTATCACGTGATAGTATTGAATGGGTACACTGTGCGCCAGTATTTTTTAAACCACCTTCCTGATGAATGACGAGTATTTGAGATGGGTCGTTATTCTAGAAGGCCATGAATGTAGGATTTTGCTCTTTCATAATACGGGTTAGCAGGCAATATTACTGCTTGTAGTAAGTATTTTACAAATATTGTCGAGTCTCCATTTATAAGATTTTATTTACCTAGAGAAAAATTATAAATATAACATATTCTTTAGATATAAAGTCTATGGTTGTCAAATTAGACAGCGTCCAAGATAATAAAAATATTATTTTACGACTAAAAAATGTAAAATTTACCTAAATTATGTTCTCTCTATCGGAATCAAAACTAAATAGACAAAAAAACTTAATAATTAGGAAATCATTATTTTTAAAAAAAAACCTAACTGTCGCCGCGAATACTCCGTCTCTATCCATCGTAAAAATCACCTCTGCTATGATTAAAGAACAGAAAGCAGTTTGATTGCTGAAATTGTATCTATACTCACTGAAACGTAAGTTTTTGATAAACTCATGTGCCGTCACCACAAAGAAACCAAGTGCGGGCAGTGCGCGGGCTTCACATATTCGTACATGCAAACATAAATGAATGAATATTGACACGAGTTTGAATACGTTTCCCAACAATTGCAAAATGTGATACCTCTATCAAGTAACATTTCTAAATTTAGCTAAAAACAACACATTATTTATTTACTGTTTGAGATTGATCTGAACACATATAAGCCCTACTGGGGAATTTTGTAATAAACGAAAATAAAATGGGCAGCGATATAATACCAAGTTTTATGACTCTTCTTCCATCTGAAATTTTAATGAAGATTTTTTCATACCTCTCGGGAAAAGAATTAATAAAGTGCCGCGAGACATGCAAGCGTTGGGACTCGATAATAAGGTCAATTTGTCTTAGCGATGTCCTTTGGCAGGATTATTGCAAAGCGGATTACATGGATACTTATCAAATAGCAAAGTTAAAATCGAGTCCTCAGATGCAGTGGTTTCAGATCTACAAATCGCTATCTTTATGGCCTAAGTTAACGTCTGCTAGAGAAATCAGATACGAGTTAACTTCGGCTTGCCGTTTATGTGAAGAAATTAAAAATTTTACCATTCTTCGTAATGGTATCATAGGAGTTCACAAACATAACGGTATATTTTACTACGACGTACAGACTATGAAAGAAACAAAAGAAAATGGTATTAATGGTCAATACTTACGATACACAGAAAATGATGAATTGATTGTTACACTCACCTACCATCTGCAAATGCAAATTATGAAAAAGGACACAAATTCAATTCGTGAAGTTAGTGCTTGTGTTGATAATGTCAAATATTTCTTATTAAACGACAGAAATGTTTATTATGTGACTTTTAGTGACGAAATATGTATTAGTGAAATGGACAGAGACTTTAAAAATAAATTCATAACGCACGTACAAGACGGAGTAATGGCTCTCGGGCATGGAAACTATTTAAGCGTTTTAACTTTCAGAAGACACATATGTTCTCTGATTGATGGTAAACTTGTTGAAGTGTGTTCTTTGGATAAAGTTTCCAATCTGTTTCATAGATTGCGCATATACAATTTTCTAGAACATTTTGACTGGCGAATATACTTTCAATGGATGTACGTCTTAAATCAGAGTATTCCTGTAGGTTTGGGTTTAGAGGATATAGTAATTGTCCGCTCTTACGGGGACATGGTTTTTGTGGGTTCAAATTGGGGAGTGCTTCGAATATATCATGCCCCATTTTCGTGTGAACAATTTGATTTAAACAACGCTATACCTATGAAAATATACAATTTCATGGAATATTGCGACAGTCCCGCTATGTCAATGTGTCCTATTATTCAAGTGGACGTAATGGAAATAGTAGATGGCCATACAGTATTTGTAGCAATGCCAAAGAAACTAGCAGTAATAAATTTTATATGAATGAATAAATTTTCTAATATGAGTAGGAATGAAACTTGGGTTAAATAAAAAATTGCAAAACTATGATTCTCATTTCAGAAATTACGATTTAGTTATTACTCATCTCTTGCCGTATTCACTTTGTTTATTATTTTAGTTATTTAATGTTCATTTAGTATTATTAAAGGTTCTAATAATAAACAGGATAACAAACAATAATACTTACCTCACCCAGTACTTAGCGAGAAATGTGAAAGCCGTCCAGGTAACTTGATTGGATTGATCTTTCTTTTCTACTAACTACTAACTACTACCCAAAATAGGCTTCAATATCAATTCGGCTCCTAACAAATAAATTAAGAATTTATTTATTAACACGATTTTTATATAATCGCACAATCCCGGGTCATGAATGACACTACTCACCTTCATTCATTCTTCTCCCTTTCATTCATAATTGAGAGAATGAACTAAATTATAATACCTATTTTCATGTTTTTTATTCGTGTCACAGACATTCGTATTTTTTTTTTAATTTATTAAGGCTTTGGCAAAGCCATCAGCCTAAACATGAAGTTTAATTATGTTTCTGTAAATATGGCCGCCACAAAGAGGATAGGCAATTTGAGGCGGCGTGTTTGGATTGACTCGGGATTCCTTAAAACGGGTATTTTAGTTCGAGATTCGTATAATTTCGCGTTTTAATCTTCGCTTAAGGCACAATAGCACTATCCTGTTCCACTTTAAACTAGATTTCACAAAATAATTGAAAGTCAAAATAAAAACGACACTTTTCCTCCAAAAGGTCCAGAGCGAATCCATTCGTATTGTTTAAATTCAGTGGTGCCAGACCTTTAGATTTAACCGTGGATCTACGGAATTTTGGTCGCACCTACGGGAAATGGAAATGACCTCCCTGAGAAGAACGAGCAAGAAACTCTAGGGATTGCTCTTTTCAAATAAACTTAAATGCTATGTAATACACTTTGAATCAAATTTGTGTGGATTCTGGAGCCATGTCGTCTTTCCATACATCTTTATCTAACATGTAGTCTTCAATTTTGTAATATGATTTTTCGATCAAAATATTTTTAATGTAGTTTTTAAACTTAGGAAATGATAAACTTAATATATGCTCCGGAATCTTATTATAAAAACGTATACAGTTCCCCATAAAAGAGTTGTTTACCTTGGTTAAACGAAGTCGTGGTAC